GTCGAACCTCGGACCGCCAAATATTGTAATGTGTTATATACCAAGTATAAATTAATACGTATATAAGGTATATAATACTTTTATAAATTAAAGTAATAATTTTAAGCCACATAGAATTCTACTTAGTATGTACTTATTTGCGTATGTGTGTGTGTGTTTGTGCGCGCTTGCGACTGTTTTGTTTTGTTGAAACCAGCGCAAGCGAGTATCGAATACGGTGGTACGGGCTTGTGAGTGGGAGAAAGCAGACTCATTCATTTGTTTCGTGATTTTTTGCGTTTTCATAATATTTTCGTACCAATACTAATATGGATCCTAAAAAGCTTAGAGGGGACAGTATCCGGACTCCACCTAAAACTACTTGCCGGCTATGCCGACTCGTGGACTAGATCTTCACACGATCCATTTATTCAAATGAATTGTTCCTATTGTTAGCTACCTGACTGACACATAATCTTCACCTGTGTTCTGCCTGTGATTACGTAAAAGTGTGAACATTGGTCTGTGAGGAATGAAACCTTTATCGCCGTTTCCAGGTCTCATTTCACATTTTTCGAAGGCATCTTAAAACTTACTGTCATTTACCTATCACGACAATTTCAAGCATGCCTTATTTATTCTGTAGCCTTTCTCTATGACATATTGAACAACACTGGACGTCTCTGGAGTTGCTTGACACTGATCTCATTACGCATATAAAAACATCAATATAGCGGTAGAAAGTAGTTGATTTCATCTCCTGGTGATGCTAACTGTGTTAGCGAAACACGCTACGAGGGACATCGTTTTTGTTCTGGTGAAGGAAAAATATCTCGCAGATAGTCATTGACATGTCCTTGAATACTTTTTTGAATACAATTCATACATGAATACAATTTTAGTATCTCATTATTGAGCAATAGACAATGAAACGTATTCGTGGTTGATTAATAAAACAAAGTAGGAAATCAAAATCTCACCGTCATTATGAAATAAGCAGAAAAAACGATTATAGTCAAGCCGTAGGCCGTGAATGATAAAACTAAAGTACTAGCTCTGCTCATCAGCTTCGTTTGGAATCTACGGAAAAAAAATAAATTGAAGAATTACAGCTCAATGAGATTTTATTGAATATTTCATAATTTAGGTGTAGGTATATCTACATATATTTTCCTGAATAGTTTCAGGGAGTTATCCGTAACAATGAGCACGAAGCTTTTGAACATATTCATTATTTGGATTCTCAACCTTCACTTCGGAATTCTGAATTGAATTCGGACAAGTATTTCACAAACTTACTTTTTGATCTCTGTATGCATTTTGACGCAGCACATAAGTAGATCAGCCACCCGTTCCTGGTATCTGATATCATTCATATGATATATCGATCTAGTGTGTAACCTACAGACAAATGCATTCAAAAGTTGAAACTGAAGCTCCAAATGTCCAACGAAATACAAGCTGTAACAGACAAGTGATGAAAGGAATAGTCCTAAAAAGGCCGCTTCCATTGTGTAAAAAATCGAAAGTATCATATGCATTTGGTCTCCTAAATATTTATTCCACAAAAACGGTAGAAACTGCCAGTGTTTTTCATCTCCGAGAGCTGGGGCCAATAGTACTGCCGATGATGTAGTAGAGCAAAAAATTGCGCAACACACAACTTTCAAATGTTTTCCTTCCGATAGAAGTTTTCTATAGATTTTATCACCGGCCAATTTCCATGACCAAGTATGAATTTCAATTATTGCAGACAAATTCCGAATGTCTGAATATCCTGCTGAGGCCACAAGATACATCAATGAACCCTGAAATTTCAGAAATTGTTACCAAACCCCATAAAGCACATCATATTCGCAGAACCTCGATTTTATTTTTGGACAATATACGAGGTCCGTTCAAAAAATAAGGTGAATTCTCAACTGTTTGAATTTAATATTATTCAGTGAACGCATCTCTGAAGTCAACTTGTTGTAAAGGTTCAAATTTATGTAGTTCGTTTTGGATTAGGTTGAACGAAATCGTGGCTACGCTATTTGATCAGCAGATCCAGTATCATGAGTGTAGATATCGGAGGTAAAGGGATCATTTTTATTTATTCTCCTGTATTTTTAATTGTTAAGTCTCTTGATCATTTAATTACATAAAGTTGACATTGTGAACGAAAGTATTGATAGTAGTATGCTGACATATGTCATTTATATATATGATGAATAAGGATCCAAGTACCGAGCCTTGGGGAACTTCATATTTGATGGTAAGAAGATCAGAAATATTTGTACCTATTTTTACTAATTGTTGTCTGTTAGTTATATAGGATGATAACAGTTTGAGAACTACACCTCTTCTGGATCAAAAGTTTTTAAGAGGGATAAACAGCAATAATTCGGAAGGTTTTGACTAGTCAAAACTATTTTGAAATTTCCAGTTGAAATATTCGATAACAGTTCCTTAAGATGATCAAAATAACGATGAAAATCACCCTCGCATGATCGATATACAGGGCTATTCAAATTCGTTTCTGTACATGGGGATCTCGTAAACGATAAGAGATAGAGTGTCAGTTTAATTGTGGCAAAGTTGTGTATTTTATAGACCTATTCAATGATGTGAAAACATCGAATATAGCTCTTTTAGTTCTGGAGATATACAAGAAAAACAAAAAAAATCCCAAATTATTTTTTTTGCCTATATCTTCTTTATTCGCTGACATATTGGAAATCTGTCCACATTTTACTATTGGCACTTGATGTGGGCTATCAGAATATGTCCATGAATCTATTATACAGGGTGTCACCTGACTTGGGCCACCCCCATCTTTGAATTTTTAAATACGGACCTGTATTTTTTGTTGTAGTTTTTATATCGTCGACATTCACTTCATACTGAGAAATTAAATTCCATTTTATATTTCAGGATATTTCGGTAATATTTGATTATAAATGTGTGAATTATTCCCTTTCAAATTACGGCTCTGGAAATTGGTTGACTGAGTTGAATAAAAACATAATAGCAACTTTCACGTCTCTCTATATACCATAGAGTTTTTCGAGAGTTTTTTTTTCATTTTCAGGTATCTATTCATAATTTTTCCAATGCTTTGAGCGTTTTCTACAATGAACTTCGAATAAGAAAACCTTTTATGGTTATCTGAAACATATCTACATCAAAAATATATTATATGTGTTTTAATAAGCAGAAAAAGAAATGATAGCAATAACAACATACGACGACCACTATAATTATAATGAAAATTGAAATGAAGTAATTTATATACGCAAAAAAATTAATGGCGCAATAAATGTTCGAATTGGAGTCCTTCCATTTCGAGACATTTTTCATCTCAGTTTTTCATATTATTTATTGCCATTAATACACTAATTCATTTAATTGTTGCGAAAACATTCAAAATCCTTAATCTCGAGTCTTCCACATTTTCTATCTCTCTGCCAGCGTAAATCCTATTTTTCAATGTCCCCATAGAAAATAGTCTAAAATAGTAAGATCTGGTGATCTTGCAGGCCATCTCATTGACCCATTATTTGTCTCAAAATGGAAGGACTCCAATTGAAACATTTATTGCGCCAATAATTTTTTTGTGTATATAAATTACTTCATTTCAATTTTCATTGCAGTTATAGTATTCTTTTCGGATGTTATTATTGCTATCACTTATTTTTAGGCTCATTGAAACACATATAATATATTTTTGTTGTAGATATGTTTCAGATAACCATAAAAGGTTTTCTTATTCGAAGTTCATTGTAGAAAACGCTCAGAGCAATGGAAAAATTATGAATAGGTACCTGAAAATGAAAAAAAACTCTATGGTACATAGAGAGACGTGAAAGTTGCTATTGTGTTTTTATTTAACTGAGTTAACCAATTTCCAGGACCGTAATTTAAAACGGAATAATTCACTCAATTATAATCAAATATTACTGAAACATCCCGAAATATAGAATAAAATTCATTTTCCCAGTATGAACTGAACGTCTACGATCCAAAAACTACAACAAAAAATACAGGTACGTATTTAAAAATTCGAAGATGGGGGTGGCCAAAGTCAGATGACACCCTATATGGAAGATTCGTGGACATATTCTGATAGCCCACTTCAAGTGCTAATAGCAAAATGTGGACAGATTTTCAATATGTCTGCAAATAAAGAAGAGATATGTATATCTCTCGAACCAAAAGAGTTATATTTCATTTTTTACATCATTAAATAGGTCTCTAAAATACGCAACTCTGCCACAATTTAGCTGACACTCCATCTCTTATCGTTTAGGCGATCCCCATATACAGAAACGAATTTGAATAGCCCTGTATATGAAGTAATAATTATGACTTTCAAACTAAGTAATTCTAAGATACAAAATTCTGTTACGAATTCTTGGTTGAAGGCTTTCGTTTTCATAGGTCAACATCTGATATTTTAAAATTTAAACGCCTCCAGGTCGATTTAAACTTCTGCAGTAATAGAAAGCCAAATAGTATTTCGGTATATTGACACTTTTCAAGTTGGATTCAGATTGCCAAACATTAAACACTGATATTTTTGTTATTCAAGAAAAAATAGAGTTCATTCATTTTGTTTCCAAGACACTGAATATTCAAATAAAACCCTACTATAATAGTGATTTGACATCTCTTTCACGTCTTCTTGACCTTCTGTGGAAAGCTTGTACCATTTGTTAACGTTTTTCTGACTCAGAGTACAATCACCGTATGTCACTGTCAATATTTGAAGTGTTTTCGAGCACTCAATTCCATTTTTTACACAAAATTTGGGGAAAATTCCATGATCTATTTTTTTCGATACCTGAAAATTGCCGTACACGCAAAACACTTCCAATTGTGAACATATTATCGAGACGAGTGTATCAACATAAAAAAATCGCTAATCGAATGTACGTCGCCCGCGAAATTTGAACATTCATATTATGTTTTGAACAGACCTCGTAGAAAAATCGTAAATAGAAAAAAAAATCTTGAATGAATATGACTTGACATTGAAAAATCATTATTTCAACATGGATATTGTTTGGATAGGGTCTCAACAAATTCCAACAGCATATACTTATCGGTTTGATAGCTTATAATGTTCACAATGTTTACCCAATTTTTCCATAATTTCGAACCAAGATTGGCCCAATATACAGTGTATGAAAGCCAAATGGAATGAATTCATTATTTCGGTTACGGTACATATTTTAACAAAATCCTGAAACATGTCAAATTCAAATTATAATTTGACAGGTACAAACCCTCATATTTTAAATGGTAAGTATAGGCTGATGATATATCGTTTGAAAGATATATTCATTCTCTATTCGAAAATTTTATCGCTTACAAATCAAAATCAAAATCAAAATGTTCTTTATTAACTATTCTCCATACAATTTTAAGGTATTTTTTTTGTGGTGTTTATTAGCTTTGCAACCTAATATGTCTCTATGACGCTCGAGTAAATCCTCATTTTGCATCGTGGGCTCCCCTACTATAATAGTGATTTGACATCTCTTTCACGTCTTCTTGACCTTCTGTGGAAAGCTTGTACCATTTGTTAACGTTTTTCTGACTCAGAGTAGAATCACCGTATGTCACTGTCAATATTTGAAGTGTTTTCGAGCACTCAATTCCATTTTTTACACAAAATTTGGGGAAAATTCTTTGATCTATTTTTTTCGATACCTGAAAATCGCCGTACACGCAAAACACTTCCAACTGTGAACATATTATCGAGACGAGTGTATCAACATAAAAAAATCGCTAATCGAATGTACGTCGCCCGCGAAATTTGAACATTCATCTTATGTTTTGAACAGACCTCGTAGAAAAATCGTAAATAGAAAAAAACATCTTGAATGAATATGGCTTGACATTAAAAAATCATAATTTCAACATGGATATTGTTTGGATAGGGTCTCAACAAATTCCAATAGCATATACTTATCGGTTTGATAGCTTATAATGTTCACAATGTTTACCCAATTTTTCCATAATTTCGAACCAAGATTGGCCCAAATAATGAATTCATTATTTCGGTTACGGTACATATTTTAACAAAATCCTGAAACATGTCATATTCAAATTATAATTTGACAGGTACAAACCTGGTACAGGTACAAACCAAAATGGTAAGTATAGGCTGATGATATATCGTTTGAAAGGTATATTCATTCTCTATTCGAAAATTTTATCGCTTACAAGTTTATTGCAACAATTAAGGTAAAATAAATGAAAATCATGTGGTTACACAAATTTGATAAAATATACTCAACACTCACTGCAATATATTCGAAACATATTTCATGTTGAGGTTTTGATAATGAGAAAGTAAGCAAAAATCAAAGCAATGTTCTATTTTTAGAGAGTATCCTTTAAAAAACTGTACATAATTTCCGTGGCAACGTTAGTTTAAAACGCCTTGTCAACTTGTTTTGTATGTTAAACCATTAGTTGTCAGTATTTTAATTTAAGTTCACAGTTCGCTAACTTCAAGTCTGACAAATGGTTAGATAAAGGGAAATGCATAAAATAACAGTTTCACAAACGTTTGATTACGGAGATGAAACCCGAACACAACAGGAAGTAGCTCACATATTTCATGAGAATTTTCCTAATTCACCGCCGAAATCTCAAGGAACAATAAGCAAAATAGAGAAGCTGTTTCGTTAGCTTGGTCATGTGGGGCAGATAAAAAAAAGCTGCCAAATGTAATGAGTGATGAAATCAAATTAGATGTGATGCTTGTGTTTGAGGGAAACCCACATACATCGAGTGGACAGGCATCCACTACATTCAATGTTAGCCATACATCGATAGTAAATATATCAAATGAAAATAAAATGCATCCCTATAAAATGATACCTACTCAGGATCTCATGAAAGACGATTTTGATAGAAGAACTGATTTTTGTGAGCAAATGCAACTGCTGTGAAGACTTCCGCTGGTCAGCAGAGTATTACACATCAAGGCGTTAAATTATACAACTCAATTCCCGATAATTTAAAGACTCTTGGAGTGTTCTCTTTCAAAAAGAAATTGAAGGACTTGATATTTAGTGGTTATTTTCAGACATAGCATTAGTATTAATAGTATTACGATTCGTTCGATTGATGACTTATTTATTTTGTAGAAATTCATGTTGAATATAGAATAAAGATGCTCTATGATACATAGAGCATTCATGATACCGTCATCAGAGGAGGCTTTTCAAGAAGAAATTGAGATCATAAAGCAGATAGCATATAACAACCATATTCCCGTCAACTTAATTGAAAAACTGATCTCCAATAAGAACAATAAATTGATCATGAAGGAGCTATACCTAAATCAGGAAGAACATAAAGAAGGTAAAAAATATGCTAGCATATTCAGGGAAGCTCTCAGAAAATATAAAGAACTATTTTTCAAAACCCAACACAAGCACAAGCACATCTTCTAATAAGAATAATTTAGGAAACATGTTATTCAACGCAAAACCCAAAAGGGATAAATGGAAAAAATCGGGCATATACAGACTAGAATGTGGGGACTGTCCAGCAGCTTATACAGGTCAGACAGGCAGAAACTTCGACATAAGATACCGAGAACATGTATTATCAGATGGACATCTAAAAGAAACAAACCATACAATAAATAAAGGAAACATAAAAATTCTTCATACATGTAACAAAGGAAGGGAGATGAATTTATTGGAAGCATTGGAAATAAATAAATTGTACAAGGACCCCAAGTTCATAACGCTCAACGACTAACTAGATCTATGCAGCTCGTGGTAGTTACTTGAAAATGGCCTTATAAGCCGAAACCGGTCGTAACGAATAAATAAACACAGTAGAAACTAGACAAAAGTATTTTCTTTATTCTATATTAGTATTAACGATCCTATGAGATTGATGCTGTTATATAGATTTATTAGATTTTCTGTTTTCTCCTCTTCAGTAGTATTAACATTACTGTGAGATTGATGCTGTGATAGTTTTCTTTATCTTCTTTTAAAATTTTATATATCTAGAAAAAATATTTTATTTTTTAATTTGAGTAGCTTATAATAATTGATTTTCATATGTATTTTCTTCTAATTGATTCATATATGTATCTATTTTATGGCCTACATAGCTTCCTTAAGCTCAAGGCCTTAACCATAATATGTACTTTGTAGAATTTTGTACTCATATTTGTAGTTTATGCAATTCATGGATAAATACATAAATAAATAAAAATAAATCTCACTGAATGAGAAATGAACACACGCAATACCCTCAAAATGTTAATGTTTGGGCAGAGATTGTAGGAAATCATATAATTGGTCCCTTTTTTATTGAGAGACTTGAATGGCGATAATTATTTGGCACTACTTCAAAAATCGAGATATCGCCGGACATTAACTTGGTGATGTGGTGGTGTTCCATCCTGCTGAAACCATGGCCAGCGAGATTACCTGACCTTTCATCATTAGATTTTTTCATGGGGATATGTAAAGAGCAATGTGTACAAAACTAAACCTTCATATTTTAATGACTTAAAAGACTTAATAACGCTTGCGATTAGGTCGGTCACGCCTAACATGTTGAATAATAGTTCTGTTTCGTATTCTACATTTCATTACGTTTTGCATTACATTTTGGTTTCTGAGTGTATTTTATCGAATTTTGGTAATAACATGATTTTTAATTTATTTTATCTTAATTGTTGTAATGAACATGAAAGTGATAACATTTTTGAATAGAGAATGAAGAGACCTTCTAAACGATATATCACAAACCTATTCTTCTCATTTAAAAAATTTGTCATTCGGAGGGGATTGAAAGTAGGGATGGCTTTTTTCCTTTGAAGAATGTCAAATTATAATTTGCATTTGACATGTTTCCGGATTTTTTTAAACTATGTACAGTATAATAAAGTTATTCCATTTGACTTTTACACACTGTATGTATTCTACTTTGAATATCAAACTTAGAAGGGTTGCAAGGCAGGAAACTAATTTTTCAGGATATGGAGTTGTATTATTCAACACATTGAACGAGAAAAAAGTTATTTGTATATCCACGTTTATTAGTGGCTTAATATCAATCACAAAGGTGTCAAATTATGACAGCACGATAAACAGTAATCATATGATACTGTAAATTTGAAAAGCGCCTCAAAAAATTATTCATTAGGATCATATAACAGAAAAGAACTACTATAAAAATATCGAATGATTGCTGCAGTCTACTTGCTGTTTCTTTGTGAAATGTTGATGAAGTGACATTCGTACAGTGAGGTTTGCGAACCACACTGTATATCATCAGCTCGCAGGTAACCTTACACCCCCTTCAAAACATGTTTATCCAAATAAAAAAAGAATTTTCTCATGTCAGCAGTTCCAGTATTAACATACACAGCAGTATACGTACCATTTGCATAACAATTAGATGCGGATAATGTTTTCTATTGGCATAAAAACTTCCGTTATAAAAAAATTCAATAAATGCCAAGACTGGTACCAACTGAAAAGACAGACATTGAAATACCATAACCCTTCCGGTGTATTTTTTTGGGAGCCAAAAGAAACAGCATGATCGGTATATTGTGATAAGAGTATCTTCTGAAACAGACAAATTAAAAACTAATGTGTTTTGCATTTTGACAATGATGACCAGCATCATAATATGTTTCAAATGTATAACAAGTATATTACCTTCTGCTCCAATTTTCATTTTCTTGTATGCCTTCATTTTATTCTGTTGTTGAAAATATTAATGTCGCTCATAATCGTTAGTAAAGCGATCAGATCAAAACGTAAAAGCGATAAACTGTTTATCTATCAGAAATTGAGCTCCCAATTAAATAACGATCAAAGTTCCATTTACTTACGAAACTGATAAACGCTTGCCTTTCCTGAAGTACTAGACTATACGTATTTAACTTCATGAACCAATTAATATCGAATTTTCAAAAATGTGAGGTGAAGGTTCTTGTACACGTTGCTATATAACTCATGTTACTATTTTTATGGAGATCCTTCAAGATCGACCTCATCTCCACATTTTTCTGGAGAGAGAGGCTAGATGGACTGCATTTAGACTTGTGCACATTGTTAATTGCACAAATCAATTTGATGCAACAGACTGTTAGTTGACACTGGAAATCACAGATTTCTGGAAATGACCCCTGACGTTATGCCTCCAACTGTCAACTACGAACTTTCTTATAAAGTACTGTTCCCGAGTAGAGAGTACTGGATCCTCCGGGAGAAAGAAATATTAAGAGCAGATAGTTGTTGGTTCACAGATGGATCAAAAACACCTTCCGGTTCTGTTGCAGGTGTTTTCAGTCGCAAACCCAGGTCAGAGATATCAACCTGCCTAGGAACCTATGCCACTGTATTTCAAACGGCAATTTACGCTATTGAATTGTGTGCGGAGAGATTTGGAAGAATCCAACCTCATACACAAGTCAATAAACATATTCTCGGGCCGTCAAGAGGCGTTGGAAGCTTTTGGCTCCTACCGAGCAATGTCTAAATTGATAGCAACTTTCCAAAAACGAGTCTCCTCGATAGAAAGACGTAACAGATCGTCTCTGGTCTGGATTCCTGGCCATATCGGCCTAGAAGGCAATGAGGCTGCTGACTCCCTTGCAAAGGAGGCTGCAGCCAAACAAAGATTGAACACCTGGATGGCAAGAAGATGTATGGACTTCTGGCAGAATCTTCCATAATTGGCTCACTCCAAGGCATTCATTGACCCTTCGAACCTTGATACCGAACAGCTGTTGGACTACAGTAGGGATGAACTACGATGTCTAACAGGCCTTGTTACAGGTCACTGTCATTTTAATCATCATATACAGAGATTCGGACTGTGGGAAGACAGTGTGTGTCGCCTCTGTTTGGAAAATGATGAAACAGCAGAGCAAATACTTTGTGCCTGCCCCGCTGGGGACCGAATCAGGTTTTCACAGTACTCTTACCATCTGACCTGAAATACCACTCACTATACAAACTAATCGGCTTCGTTAAGAAGCTGGGTTTATTTGGTCGAGTGTGAATAGGTGTGAGCCACAATAAACCTTCGCGGGTTGCGGTGGAGGGTCGAATAGTCCCACTCACTTTGGACCTAACCTAATTTTATTCACTATTATTATTGTTACTGTTATGTAGGTGGTGGTGGAAATAAGGCTGTTGATATTTCGGTGGATACAGGTTTATTGACATCGATAATATCCAGAGATATTCACACACATAAATATACATGGAGTACGACCAAGTTTACATTTTACACATTTCAACATTTCCTAGATACAATCACGGCCGCCGATTAATACTGACACCAGCGTTTCCTAATCTGGAGACTGCTCTCCGGGCATGCGCCCTTGGCCCTATGTCAGTGGCGTAGCAGCCACATACATTACAGTTGCAATTCTCTGATTTCTAAAAAACTATCTTTGTTTCACGCTCTTGATGGTTTCTAAAAGGTGTTCTGAATGGATGATCCTGACTTCATTAATTTAGGCCACTAAAATAACCGACTGATTCCGGTAATAATATTTAAGGACAGTTCCTTCAGGAACACTAAATGTTTCTAGGTTTGAGTTGATTTATCAATTACTTCATTGATTTTTTCATAGTCCTGCAATCATAACACTCATTTACCATCGGAATATATTTACTGTGATATCATAGAACATAGTCGGCTTAATTATTGCGATGACCACGTGTCCATTCTCTGAAAAATAATGTCTAATGAATTTATGCAGTATTAAGTATTGACTACCTTCAAAAACATTTCTTAGCTTGAAGCTGATAACCAATGCTTGTTCATTATACCATTCTAGAAACGTAATGCAAGACACATTATTGAACTAGCAATTTCAAGTAAAACTCAAAATTTATTTGGCTTCATGCCAAAGGTTAACCTCAATTTCTATGTAATCTCAGCTTATCTCTTAGTCATAACATCAAATTCCACCAGCAATCATTTCAATCCTTATGTTCTGAACTTAACTTCCAGCTGGAGCTCGCAGTCTTCAACATTCATTAGACCCCTTGCTGTACTTTAATTTCAACATTTCATCCAATCTACCAACGAGTCGGAAGTTTGACTATAATCTACGATCGAATTGAAATTTTCATTCGATTCAAAAACTTTGATTTTTTCATTCCAGATATCACCTGATCTCCCAACAACTCTGCAATCGACTCTTCAATTTCATTAGCATTCAAAATCCATCGAACTGATCTCACCACATACTCATTACTTGATCGTTTCGCCAAAGAATATGTTCTGAAATATGCACTTTTTTCTTCGAATGAAACTGTTTGATTTCTCAATTGAAATCTCGAAATACATTAAAAATCTTGATCCACAGTCTGATCCAGACTTCTTATTCCAACTTTAATTCCAATTCTTGATTCCTAGAGAGAACTTTTTTTTTTCTCTGGTTCAATTGTCGATCCATACATCCATTCACGATTCCCAATTTGAAATTCTCAATAATCTCCACATCTCTTCCACTGATAGGTTCAATAAACGTCAATTTGATATATTTCATCTCAAATCTCACCTCCAATCTACCATCTACAATATTCGATCGACTTAAAATTTTATTCGAATTGAACAAACAGTTTGCTTTTATTCGAAATTAATATTAATATTCATTATCGTGATTTCAAGGCAATATCTTATATTACCCATCCTGATCCATCCTTGAGTTTAATTGTTTGAAGGTGGTTCACAATGTTTCGTGGTGTATTTCATCAGTTCGGACTTCCATTGTCTAAAATAATATGAATTGATTTGAAATCCTTGAAAGAAATTTAAAAGGGTAACAGAAAATTAACAATTTTATTAAACAAATAAGTGAAATTACAAAGAAACATACAAGGAACAACCAAAAAAAAAATAAAAAATTGAAAAGTTGATACAAGCTGAAAATTAAAAATTTAAAAATATCATTAACATTAACATTCGATTGTTAGTATCCACAATCGTCTTCGGGTAATTTTTAATTTTTAGCTTGTATTAAATCTTCTATTTTTGATTTTTTTTGTTCTTGCTTGTATGTTATTTCTTTGTAATTTCAGTTTTTTGTTTAATAAAATTGTAATTTTTCTGTTAATATTTTCAATTCCTTTCAGGGATTTCAAATCAATTCATATTATACTTGAAACATCGATATATACCAGTGAGGATGACAGTGTTCCATGTAAGTGCCATTTGTTACCATTCATTTGAAGTAGAACTCATGTGAATGATATCTGATTTTTATTCCAAGAAGAATGTTTGAAAACTTTCTTTCCCAAAAATTAATCACTCCTAAAAATATAACCCCTTCGATTCAAATTATACTTGAGTTTAATTCATTCAATTCAATTCATTCTTTGAAACATATTCCATTAATTACATCATCCATTTCATATACTCGTAAACTTCAAGCAAAAAGGCATCCGCCACGCCGGCTTCGCCTTTTGGATTTGTTGGTGAGCATATGAGAAGGTGAGTCATTGGGCCAGAAAATCAACACACATAGATAAATATCTGAATAAAAATCGCAATCACTAGCCAAGGCAACGAAAAGAGGTAATCAAATCTTCAGTTGAGAGGGCCTTGCAACTGTAAGAAAGGATGTTGTGCTAAATGTTGCCTAAAAGTTGGGCTGTTTTGTCTTTTAGCATGTACAAATTGTCAAGCCCGACATACTCCAATGTTGAGTCACCAACGAGGAGACATATGATGTATCACTATTGAGGCAATTTACTTGCACCCAGGATGAAGAAGAAGAACAAGGAAAAGAAGAGAAAGCAGAAGTATATGAGGATTGTGAATCAGACGAATTAATTTCCCTATTTTTTTATTCACACCGCTTTTATCATTCTCAACCTTTGTCAATATTTTTTATTATTCAATAGTTACAAATCAAACATAATCACAGCAGATCCTTACAATAGGCATACCGGAAAATACGTTAATAAACGTTAAAATATGTTAAAATACGTCGAAAAAACGCCAGGTACACTACCTCAAAGGTTACGTGGAAACGTGTGCATATTATGACGTTTACAACTTTTTGAATCGTTATATCTGCGAAACGGTGGCTTTAACGGAAAAAAATATCTTGTCATCTTCTATAGATAATTATCTGATCTACAATTTTTGTCGTAACTGATTTCATGATGAAACTGACCGTTTTGTTGAAAATCGCGAAAAACCCGGTTTTGTGACCTTCGACCCCAAGTAAATTTTTTCCAGGCATCGATGAGAATCTTTTAGATTTCATTTATGATAGTGTTTTGAACAATCCTACCAATTTTGAGCTGGGTGCGAATTTTTCCACCTTCACTCCTATTTTTTGGTCTAATTTGACCGGATGATTATAGGAACTTTGTATGATATATCTGCCCAAAAGGATCAAAAATTATTCAACCACAAGAGTACGAAGCATTTTATTTCAAACGAAGAATTTGGTGCTGATAATGTAAATTTCAAAATATAATTCAAATTTCTAACAATTGAAAAGTACATGAAATATAAGTATATCAGGAACGATTTTGACTCAAATTGGTTAACAGCGTGTGGGCAGCATAAGCCATTCGAAACATCTGAAAAAAAATTCCTGATAAGTCAGTTATATGGGAATTAACAAATAATATGCCTCAAGTTTTGTATTTTCGATGTTCAAAACATGCATAATGTAATGAATAATCAGGAATTGTGAAAAAACTTATTGTTTGCGTAGTTTTCGAAAATTCGTTTTTCTCTTCGTCAGAGGTAGGTAACATGCAAAAGTAGAAAATATTACATAACTTCCAAGTTGGTGAAACATTGGAAATATTTCAAAAATTCAATATTCCATATTCCTTCCATTATCTCTGTTATATAACCCCTTCAATTCAAAGTTGTATACTAAAAGTTGTACAGATGAAAAAATAATTAATGAATAAAAATAATACAGCTTCAAAATCTGTTTAAAAAAAATCTGTTTTTTCCGTTAACCAGCTGTCGCACCCCTAAGAACGACAACCCTCGGAAGTCGAAACTTGTGCGAGATAAGGATTAACGAGGCCTTACCTTTTAACGTGTAATTTCTAACACGGTTAGGTTGCGTATGAGAGACAGTTATGTAGTGAACACATCGAAAGATAAAATGAATAGCAAGTAAATAAATAGAAATAGTAGTTTTTTGAGCTGTCATTTTGGTATGTATTAAAAAAAAGTAGTGAACATGTATGTGATATTAGGAAAATAGTTACAGGCTTATTATTTCCAAACATGGGAAAAATACCTTCAAGTAGTAATATGTGTGTATGGTAGTAATATAAGGTGTATAATTTGAGGTAGTCTATGTATATCTTCCTATGTATATGTTCCTAACAATGGGAGCACCGATTCGAGCACTGCGACTGTTACCACATTGCTTTGATAATGACTACCGCAGTAGTAGACGAAACGTCAGTCATTGAAACCTCTGCAGACCACGGCAAATAACACGGCAAATAGCTTTCACACAGTTGAACATTATATTTATTCACCTTGACTGCCAGTGGATAATTCGCATCCAGGACGCCATGGCAAGAAATCGTAACGGGACTGACAGAGTTTGAAAGGAACAGAAGTATCCGCCTGTTGGTGTTGTTGAATTGTTCCCAAGGACATCTGCAGGCGTTGAGAAAAACCTTCTCCGACTGAAATTGAAGAGTAATGAAATTAAGTCAAGAAACGAAGTCTAGGCTAGGATTCTTGAATTTATATACTCTCGAAGTAAATTTATCGAAAACACTTTCCCAACACCAGAACCAAAATTACGTTCCCTCGACGCGCATTTCGCTAACCCATTTAGCGTCCTCGAGGGCCTTGGCTTGGGATGTGGTGGTTGAGCAAAACGGCCATCGGATGCATGCTTTCATGTAGCTCCGCTGGATACGGGAATGAGAGAATCACTTGTGGTTCTGTTATTACCTAACTGAATGCAACCCCAAAGATGGCTTAATCCTAAGATGTGTGCATCCGTGCCGAGAGGATGAATGACACTGAGCCTATCAGCTGTCTGTACGGAACCTTCGAGATACCGGGCGCCCTCTCGTCGTAGCATCGCCTTGTTACGGTAATGCGGGGCTCTGCCGTGATTGACCTTCTTTCTCTAGCTACTCGTGGGACTTTTATGGACAGAGTGAACTCAAAAATTATATGAGACGCGGAGTCTACAGAGGAGAGGGATGTCGAGCTTACGACTCCAACTGACCTCCCTGTTAATTTAGATCTGGAGCAAGAGCTTCTCAACTCTTCAATTCCTGATCACATAATTGAACCTAAAAAAAAAGGTTTGATGGTGCGGCCAGGAAACGACCGAGTGGTCTCCTCAAGAGCGGGGAACTTTATGAAACCACCTTGCACCAAATTCTTGAGCGGCGTACGCAGAATCTGTCTCAGGTGGAGGAACAAACCCCCTATGAGCAGGTTAGCAAACGTTCGCGCTCAAGTGATGATTCACCAAAACCAGAGGCGAAAAAGATCTGCACGGTTGAATCGTCAGGTGTAGGTGATGTGCAAAAACCCTCATATCGGAAGGTTGTCGCGGGTATTAAAGTGGGAATCTTGCACCTTGACTATCCGAATATCTCATTAACGATGAAACAGCAGAGCATATACTTTGTGCCTGCCCCGCTGGGGACCGAATCGGGTACGGCAGAGCCGTACTTTTACCATCTGACCTGAAAGACCACTTATTTGGTCTAGTGTGAATAGGTGTAAGCCACAATAAACCCTTGCAGACTGGGGTGGAGGGTCAAATAGATCCACTCGCTTTAGGCCTAACATCACCAAACCTAGTGTTCTCAGGAGATCATTATGACGAAATTTTACTACTATGTCAGTGTTTTTATTTCCTAGTGGTCTAACTACTACCTGTTAGTGTTATCTGACTACACCAGTTCGTATTACATAACTACTATCTGTTATTGATCCTAGACTGAACTACCTGTTTTTACTACCTCTAATTTGTTATGTATTTCCATTTTGTTAGTGAATATCTTTAATATCCACCTGTAATCCGGTCAATCTAGACATTGGAAGGTACATAAATTTACAACAAGCTGCAAACGCTTGTAATTGTTCAAAACATAGTTGAAAATGAGATTTTAAAAATCCAAATGATTGCGATGCCTAAAAAAAAGGTATTCGAGGTCAAAGGTCAAAAATCTCGAAAAAAATTTGTTTTTTGCGATTTTCAGGAAAACGGTAAGTTTTATCATAAAATGACCTGTGATATAATTGTAGATCATAAAAAAACTTTTTTTTCTTAGAGCCACCGTTTCTGAGATACGATGAGTCAAAAAGTTGTAATCGGCATTATATGCACACGTTTCCACGCCACCTATGAGGTAGTGTACTTAGCGCGTTTTTTTAACGTGGTTTCCCCAGTAGGCCTATTCCACGTTTGTTGTGATTCTGTCAAATTGAAAACTTGCATAATAAAATATATTAGGAAGGGTTGGAAATTATAAAAGCGATTGAAATTAAAAAAATGTAAAAATTTATTCATCTGAGTCATAACCTTCAAATACTTCTTCTTGGTATTCTTCTTCTTGGTGTTCATCCTGGGTGCACGTAAACTGCGTCAAGAGTGATGTATCGCATGTTTCCTCATTGGTATCAAATGAATCTTCTACTATTGGTGATTCAGCATTAGAACATGACTGGCCTTGACAATGTGTACATGCCAGAGAACACAACAGTCCAACCTTTTACAACCACATTTAGCGCTGCATCCCTTTTTCAGTTGAAAAAAATTGTGTTCAGCAGTTTTTCCGGCGCAGGTGGGAGTAAAATCTGAATAGGTTCTAATGCATTGTCGACCAACTTCCAACCTCAGTCTTTTGGATCTAGCTGATAACCAAGCCACACGTGAACTTGGTAGTATACCCGGAAAAGATATTGATGAGCAGCAAGTGAGGTTGGAGGAAGACAAGCTAATTGCACCTGTTTCTTATTTTTAGTGTTTTCTACGAAACATGCATATCGATACTTATCTAAGCAGGTGGATTTTTTCGGAGCTTTGTACATAGAAAGAAGAAACTGAATCCCGTTGGTGATAATTTCTTGTTGAGTCGAATTACTTTTTTTAAAAACTTCAGCACATTGAACTAAATCTTGTTTTTCAAACATTGTAAAGACTGTTGCTTTACCCCTCCTGTAAAATGCAGACGTCGTATCACAGCCAGCTATTGCGTGTAAATATAGTACAACATGATTTTGACTCTTTGCAAAAGTAGATAAATTTTTTGACGAATATATTTCGGTTTGACTTTGAGCTTTTCCTGGCTTTAGAAAGAAAATAGTTTTTTCAGGTGGAGTTTGAGCAGTAAAAAGTACGAGTAAGTCTACATTTTCACCAACAACAATGGTTGTATTTGTCAAATTAAATTGCTCTATAGCTGTTTCAATAATCAGTACGTCGGCATCGTTACTACCCTGTTCAACCAATATATTTTCGCCAATAAACTTATCCTTCAACATTGAAATGAACCGAGATTTGTTGTGAGTATTCTGTTACTGGTAGGAACTGTTGACTGATAGGAACTGTCATAAGTTCATCAAATCGATTACCTATCGAAAGATGAAGATATTGCTAAAGTTCGACGACGTTGTTCTGCAGCTTTAATATTTCTCGTGCAATCATCATAGCCATCGAATACGACCGTAATTCTGGCACCAAAATGTCTGCGTACCTACTGAACGTATTTATCTAAAATAATGCTATATGTTTCTTCACTATCCCACACAACACGATGTAGTAAGTTTCCACCGTCAATGATGTATGTCGTATCAGTATTGTTAATTTCAATATTGACCTGTTGGAAACAATCGTAAAAGGCAGACATTTGTGTTTTACGCATCCCGAAGTCATCAAACAACGATGAAGGGTAAGGATATTTATACTTATGTTTACCAATAGAAAAATATTTTTATTTAAATTACAACTGCAGAGATGTATATACCTGGCATACTTATGCATATAATGACGATTACAACTTCTACAACTTTTTGACTCGTCGTATCTCAGAAACGGTGGCTCTAAGGAAAAAAGTATTGATACATTTTTTGTAGAGAATTTTATGATCTACAATTTTTAGCTGAAGTTATTTTGTGATAAAACTTACCGTTTTCCTGAAAATCGCAAAAAACCTATTTTTTTCTAGAAAAATTGTAAAACAACATATTGAAGATGATACCATATCGGCGGCTTATCAAGCTGATCCTAGAATCAGTTTGAGAAACTTATCGCCGTATGGAGTATTATTTATGGATGCAGGGAAATCATCTCAATAACAGGAATTTTTCAAACTATAACTTATACAATGATGAGGCTACCTTTACCACGAATATATGTATCTTCCTTGAACATGAGATTTTGTGCTGAAAAAAATCCAAATCGGATGGTGAATTGAAGAGACCAAATATCTAAGAAAATTAATGTGTGGTGTGGTATTCTGAACGAAAATATTATCGGGCCATTTTTTTCCTACCTATGAAATGGATAGGACCCAATACCTCTCTCGTAGTATGGCCACCACAATCTCCAGATCTAACTCCACTGGATTTTTATTGATGGAGAACGTTGAAAAAAAAAGTTTATAAGCATAGGCCAACAAATAGGGAATATCTCCGTGCAAGAATTATACGAGCTTGTGGAGAAATCACACCTAGAGAACTGACAAGAGTTGGAGGAAATAATAGAAGGCGCATGGAAAAATGTGTTCGCTTGGAGGAAAGTTTGAAAGAAGGCACAAAAATATTGAATTGTCAACAATTAAATCAATTGAAATTGATTATTTTGTTATTTCAATTGAAAACGTGATTTTGAAAGTAATACTTCGAAAGAGTTTTGAACTACATAAAACTTTTAGTCACAAAAAACACTTGCTTTTTTGAAAATAATGTGAAGATGAGAATCTGAATCAACATTAACCATCCTAAAACCTCACTGATATCATGCTTCCATTCGACATAAAAAAATCAATATTTGCGAGAAAGAATAACTTTCCTGACACCAAAATAAAAAATAAATTATTTATGTGAAAATAAAAGTCAAATTTCTTTCGAACAATTGATTTTTCATTTAAAAATTCTGATTTTCTAGGAAAGGTTCGTGTTTTGATGTCAAAACCAAAAAAAATCTACTTCAATAATTACGGAAGATACGGGGGTGTTTCCATGAAAAGTCAGACACACTATATATATAATTTTTATACAAAAAAACTTCAGTTGAAACTTACCTCATTCTTCACTCTTTGGCAATATTCACAAAAGGCCCAGAGTATGAAACAACCCGTCACTATTAAGATGTATTGATTTTCTAGGAAAGGTTCGTGTTTTGATGTCAAAACCAAAAAAAATCTACTTCAATAATTACGGAAGATACGGGGGTGTTTCCATGAAAAGTGAGACAAATTCGGATGTTTCAGAACTAAAATTTTTCCAAGGAAAAAGTGTATTCGTTAGTAAGTTGGTAGTCCTGATCACGAAACTGAAAGAATTTTGGGCCTATTTTGCCCCCTGTATACTATGTTTTACCGTAAAAATGGGTTGTTTCATCGCGAGTGGCGGGCAGTGTATATCACTTTGACCAACTCCATTCAGGTGGTATGTGCATAGTAAGCATTTCCATCAGTCCTGAGAGTTTCTTCATTTCACCACAATTATTACGGAAGATACGGGGGTGTTTCCATGAAAAGTCAGACACACTATATATATAATTTTTATACAAAAAACTTCAGTTGAAACTTACCTCATTCTTCACTCTTTGGCAATATTCACAAAAGGCCCAGAGTATGAAACAACCCGTCACTATTAAGATGTACATTCTGAAGTTACTTCTGGGACTCATATCCTACAAAAAATGATTTTACATAAAGAATTTTGGTTGCATATTCAGTAGTGTATCTGACAGAACGTCTCAATGCTAATTTTTTTTTGTTTTTCTTGTTTACCTCCAGCTTTACTAACAAAGTTTATCTTTGAATCGTACTATTATCAAAATTGATGATGAAAATATACGAGACTTTCTTTGATTCATGGAAACTACCTCGATAGACCAGATCTTCACATGATCATTATATCCAATCGAATTATTCCTATTGTTATTCCCTACCTGTTTGACACCTAATCTTTATCTATTTTCTAACTGTAATTACGTCAGAGTGCGAATATTCAAAAACCTCAGATGTTAAGATTTCACTGTCGCCAAAGAAATATTGATGATTTTTGAAGTCAAAATTGGTGAAATTACAATGCAGAATACACATGCAGAGGTTAGGTTTTTGGGAGTATCTCTGGATGAACATCTCTCTTGGAAATTATCTTACAAAGTGAATTCTTTGAAATATCTCTTCATTAATTTACGATTTGTTCTAGAAGTGAAACAGATGGTAAATGTTTATCATGCCCAAGTCGAATCGAGACTCAGATATGGAACCATGTGGGAAAGCTATTTTTATTGCACAAAAACGATTTTTGAGATGTATCGCGAGAGTTTCTAACAGAGAATCATGTAGAGCTATTTTCAAAACATTTCGTGTTTTGACGCTTCCATGTCTCTTCATTTTTGAAACGTGTTTCCATGTTTTTAAAAATAAGAACACTTTTACTCGCAATTCAGATATTCATGGTTATGAAACAATAAAAATGCAATGCAAAATGCAATGTGAATTTTGCAAAAAGAAAAATGAATGTATATGCTCCTGATTATTTTGGCCTCAAAATATTCAACAATATCCCAAAATAATTGAAGTTTATAAAAAAATTGTCTTCATTTAAACATGAGTTGAAGAACTTTTTAATGGAAAAATGTTTTTATAGTATATGTGATTTTATAAAAATTCATATGTAATTAACAATGTGTGATGTGAATTTCAATGTAGGTGTAGTTTAACCTTTTTGTTTTTATTTTTGGATGTAAATTTTTATTTTATTTCAATGTACTAATTTACCTGACAATTGACAACTCCATTACATGCAAGCCATGTCGAAAAAATGGAAATAAATATTGATTGATTGTCTGAGAGGAATAGGGCCTTTATCGCCGTTCTCAAATCACATTTCACATTTTTGATTGTTTAAACTGTCGAAGGCATCTAAAACTTGTTATTAGCCTAACCTAACCTAACTCGACAATTTCAAGCATTCCTCACTTATTCCGTAGGTAGCTGTTCTCTATGGCAAAATTGGACCTGTCTGACACTATCCTCCATTATGCATATAAAAACATCAACATAGCCATAGAAAGCAGTTAATACCGTCTCCTAATGATGCTAACTTGGTTAGCGAAACATGCTTTGAGGACATCATTTTTGTTTTGGTGTTTTCAAAGGTCTCTTTTCTCGCCAGACGTTCCAAATTCTTCTCTACTCTATCACGCAGGTAGTCATTGACAAGTCTTTGAATACTTGTAACAATTTTAGAAAGTATTCGTAGTTGATTCATATAACTAAGTAGTAAATTAGAATCTTACCGTCATTATGAAATAAGCAGAAAAGACGAATATTGTCAAGCCGTAGGCCGTGAATGATAGAACTAAAGCGGTAGCTCTGCCCATCACCATCGTTTTCAATCTACGAAAAAACAAAAAGAAATTGAAGAAAAATAACTCAATGAGGGTTTTATAATTTAGGAGTATATTTATCTCTATGGCTTCGGGCTCTTTCACCGATTTGAGAGTTAACCGTAACTATGAGCTACGAGATTTTGAATATATTCATTATTAGTTTTCCAACCTTTACTTCAAAATTCTGAATTGAATTTGAATATTCCACAAACTTACTTTTTGATCTGTGTATGCATTTTGATGCAGCATATAAGTAAAACAGCCACTCTATCCTGATATCTGATATCATTCATATGATATATTGATCCAGTGTGTAACCTACATACAAATGCATTCAAAAGTTGATACTGAAATTCCAAATGCCCAATAGAATACAAGCTGTAACAGACCAGTGATGAGAGAAATAGTCCTAAAATGGCTGCGTTCATTGTAAAAAAAATCAAAAGTATGATATTCATTTGGTCTTCCAGATATTTATTCCATACAAACGATAAAAATTGCCAATGTTTTTCATCTCCGACAACTGGAGCCAATAGTAGTGTTGATGAAATAGTTAAGCAAAAAATTACGCAACACACAACCTTCAAATGTTTTCCTTCCGATAAAAGATTTCTATAGATTTCATCGCCGGCCAATTTCCATGACCAAGTGTTCATTTTAATCATTTCAGGAATAGTCCGGATCGCTGAAAACACTGCTAAGGCCACAAGATACATCAATGAACCCTGAAATTTCATAATTCGTTACCAAGACTCATATAGCACATCATATTGGCTGAATCCCGATTTCATTTCGGATCAATATACGAGGTATGTTCAAAAATGAGATGAATTTTTATTTTTCTCAAAAAATAATTATTTATAAATCAATTTGTATTGTGTCCCCTTCAAAGTAGTCTCCACCAGATATAATACACTTATGCCTCGAAGCAGTTCTGATATACATTTTTTGGTATGTCCTTGAGCTCTCTCGGCGATTCAATTTCTCCCTCCTCAATCATCGCAAAACGCCCACTTTTTACGGGTCTCTCCATTCTTGAGAACAGGAAAAAGTGTTGCTGGTGAATCTGGTGAATATGGTGGCTGAGAAATGATTATGATGTTGTTTTTAGCCAAAAAATTACGAATGAGCAAAGACGATTGAGCAGGTGGATTATCGTGATGTTGAAGCCACGAATTGTTCTTCCATGATACCAATTGTTTCCTTCGTATTGCTTCTCAGAAGCTTCGCATAAGTTCAAGATATTACTCCTTATTAACCGTACGACCATGTGGCAAGAACTCCTGATGCACTACGCCATGGTCTTCGAAGAAAACAGTGAGCTTGACATTCACTCGAACTTGGCGAAGTAGTTTTGTTCTTGGCTCTCCTGAGTTCTTCTATTGGGACGATTGGAATTTCAATTTCATGACCATATTCATACGCTTCGTCATAAGTTATGACCCTCTCAAGCAAATCTGGTTCACCGTTGATGTCGTTCAACAATTCCTGAGCGCTGCTCATGTGACGAGTTTTTGTGACATGTGACATGTGACAATTTTCGAAAAAATTGCATGGCATGAGCCAATCGATATGCCGACATCCTCAGCAACTTTTCTTTTGATTATGAAAGTCCCCAGTCCCCAGGCAAAAAAAGTTTGGGAAAGGCTTCTTCATAACAATTATTTTCACTTTCACATAATTTTCGTCGGTTCCTGATGTGCTGAGACGTCCAGTACCAGCGTCATCATTCATATCTTCGCGACCTCATGTGAGAAACTTGTACCACTTATAATCATTTTTCTGACTTAGATTACAATCACTGTATGCCACTGTCAACATTTTCAAATGTTTTTGAGTACTTTATTCCATTTTTCACACAAACTTTTATGCGAATCCTCTCATACATTTTTTTTTATTTGAAAATAACCGCATCGACCTTATGGTTATTAGCGGCGGAAAAGATATTTACAAGCAGTAACTATATTGATTACAATATTATATTTTGTTAGATAAGTTCAGAGCACTTAAATAATTAAAAATCTTGCTAGCACTAAAATAACTCAAGGTTTCCTGCGATTCCGTCTATATTTTGCACATTTCCCTTTCTAATTGAAACACTGCACTATGATGAGATGTATTGTTAGTGCAACTTCACAAATGTGGCACTGTGATTAATCTGCTAGAGATTTCAAGTATTCGTGGGTTTGGTGTGTCCTAACTCTCGTTTCCAACAATCCCCACATGCGAAGGAACCCAAAGTAGGATGATTTTCTTCTTTAGCGATTGGAGTTCAAAAAATTGTTGTTTGATAAGTATTCCAATGGGGTATTTGATATATATTCGTTGAAGGAGTTGTAAGGCACTGAGAGGGTCTGAAATGATTGAGACAGTGTCCGAAGCATTTGACTTAGCGTACTGGAGAGCTTGAAGGATGGCGAATAATTCTCCAGTTAGTATTGTTGCTGTTTCTGGAAGTTTGAAGGTCAATGCAACATAGTCAGTCACTACTGCAGCTCCTACACCAAGATGAGTTTCGGATGAGTCTGTGTATATTTCTTCGGGGTGGTCGAATTGGTCCAGGATTTATCGAAAATTTTGTTTGATGATGTTCTTATTTGTGTCGTGTTTGGGAAACTGGGATAGGAGAGTGTTTATGATAGGAGTCTGTATGAGCCATGGTGGTGCAGATTTGAATGTTTGTGGGGTACGGGGTTGAAAGTGACTCCATTTGTAAAGAACTAACTTGTCGTCGGATCCTCTCGTAAAATGGAAGATCAGTTCTTGGCCGATAGTAACTTGTTGGAAATCGATTTGTTATTGTATTCCTGTAAGTGGGAATGTTTTTCATAGATGCAACTGCAGTAGCATATGACGAACTCAACTGGGTTCTGCGAAAACTCAGGGAAGGTTCTCCTAATTCACAGTATAGGCTTTCCACTGGCGTGGTCCTATACGCTCCTGCGATTATGCGCAGAGCAGAATGATGTACTGAATCCAGTTGAGATAATGTTCTTCGTTTAGCAGAAGCATATGCAATACAACCATAATCTAATTTAGAACGTATTAAA